GTTGGGCTGAGCCCTGGCTGTTGTTGTTGTTGTTGTTATTGGGCTGAGCCCTGGCTATTGTTGTTGTTGTTATTGGGCTGAGCCCTGGCTGTTGTTGTTGTTGTTATTGGGCTGAGCCCTGGCTGTTGTTGTTGTTGTTGTTGGGCTGAGCCCTGGCTGTTGTTGTTGTTGTTGTTATTGGGCTGAGCCCTGGCTATTGTTGTTGTTGTTATTGGGCTGAGCCCTGGCTGTTGTTGTTGTTGTTATTTGGACTCCAACTCCCACAATTCCTAACAGCCGGTAGGCTGTTAGGAATTGTGGGAGTTGGAGTCCAAAACACCTGGAGGAAGGCCGAAGCTGGCCCATGCCTGACTTAGGCTAACCTTGTCATGGGGTTCCTAGAGAAGCAAGTTCAGAAGTACCTTCTTCTGAGGCTGAGAGAGTGTGACCCACACAGGGTCAACTCATAGGTTTCCATGGCTGAGCTCCCTAGTATCCTAAGTTGCATCCACACTGTACAATGGAGACAGTTTGATACCACTTTAACTGCCATAGCTTAGTGCTGTGGAATCATGGGAGTTGTGTTGCCTCACCAAACTACAAATTCCAAGGCTCCCTAGCAGTTAAATTGGTGTCAAACTGCATCCATTTTGCAGTGTAGATCAACCCCTAGCCCAGTGCTGTCAAGCCACACTGGCTCTTAAAGGCACAGCCCTGCTTTCCCTCAATTGTATGCTTCCCAGGGCTGAGCCCTGCCTGCCCCCTTTCCCCGCCATTCCGATGATTGACAGCTCTGAGGCCCGCCTCCCAACAAGAAAAAGAACCCAAGCCATCACATTACCTGCGAACCCAACAGATAAGCAGAGAGCAATGGGAGCCGAAGGGGGCGTGTCCGCCAAGGCGCGGTGGGCGTGGCTTCCGCGCGGGCCGAGGGGGCGGGGCCGTGCTCCCTTACTTCCGGTGACCTTCCTCCTTCCGCACACGTCTCCTTCCCTCCTCCTCTCACTTCCCCAACGCTCGACCATAGAGATAGGAAAGAGTAGAGCCACACAACACCAGTGGAGATCGAAGCACCCTCATCCCAAAGTGGTCCCACAGCCAAACCATTTCCAATAGTAATGATACAAAAGAGTATTGAAGGCTTTCATGGCCGGAATCACTGGATTGTTGTGAGTTTTTCGAGCTGTATGGCCATGTTCCAGAAGCATTCTCTCCTGGCTATCAGTATTAAAAAAGAATAAAGAACAACACTCAAAAACAGGGAATTCCAGACAAGAAACAATCAGGAACAGCTCATCACCTCTCAACAAATGGTTCCCCCAGGCAGTAAGAAGCCAGACCTTGAAACTGCTAGGCCATTAAATGTGAATCAAGGTCTCCAGTTGAAATATTCACGCCTACCTCCCACAAGAGTTCTTTCTCTCCCCCTGGACATTCCACAGACAAGAAACAACCAGGGTCAGCTAGTCACCTCTGAACAAAGGATTCCCCCAGGAAGTAAGAAGCCACCCCTTAAAACTGCTAAGCCATTAAATACTAATCAAGGTGTACTAATCAAGGCATACAGTTGAAATATTCACACCTACCTTCAACAGACAAGAGTTCTTTCTCTCACCCTGGGCATTCCACAGACAAGAAACAACCAGGGTCAGCTAATCACCTCCGAAAAAGGATTCCCCCAGGCAGTAAGAAGCCACCCCTTGAAACTGCTGGACCATTAAATGCTAATCAAGGTGGTATGTTGCAACATTCACACCTACCTCCAATAGATAAGAGTTCTTTCTCTCACCCTGGACATTCCGCAGACAAGAAACAATCCGGGACAGCTAATCACCTCTCAACAAAGGATTCCCCTGGCAGTAAGAAGCCAAACTTTGGAACTGCTAGGCAATTAAATGCTAATCAAGGTGTCCAGTTGAAATATTCACACTTACCTCCAACAGACAAGAGTTCTTTCTCTCACCCTGGACTATCCACAGACAAGAAACAATAAGGGACAGCGAATCACCTCTCAACAAAGGATTCTTCCAGGCAGTAAGAAGCCACCCCTTGAAACTGCTTGGCCATTAAATGCTAATCAAGGTGGCCAGTTGCAATATTGACACCTACCTCCAATAGATAAGAGTTCTTTCTCTCACCCTGGACACTCCACAGCTAATCACCTCTCATCAAAGGATTTCCCTAGGCAGTAAGGAGCCAGACCTTGAAGCTGTAAAGCCATTAAATGCTAATCAAGATGGTCAATTGAAACATCCACACCAACCTCCAGCAGGCAAGAGTTCCTTCTCTCACCCTGGACACTCCACAGCTAATCACCTCTCAACAAAGGAGTTCCCCAGGCAGTGAGAAGCCAGACCTTGAAACTGCAAGGCCATTAAATGCTAATCAAGATGGCCAATTGAAACATCCACACCAACCTCCAGCAGGCAAGAGTTCTTTCTCTCACCCTGGACACTTCACAGCGAATCACCTCTCAACAAAGGATTCTTCCAGGTAGTAAGAAGCCACCCCTTGAAACTGCTAGGCCATTAAATGTGAATCAAGGTCTCCAGTTGAAATATTCACGCCTACCTCCCACAAGAGTTCTTTCTCTCCCCCTGGACATTCCACAGACAAGAAACAACCAGGGTCAGCTAATCACCTCCGAACAAAGGATTCCCCCAGGAAGTAAGAAACCACCCCTTGAAACTGCTAAGCCATTAAATACTAATCAAGGTGTACTAATCAAGGCATACAATTGAAATATTCACACCTACCTTCAACAGACAAGAGTTCTTTCTCTCATCCTGGGCATTCCACAGACAAGAAACAATGAGGGACAGCTAATCACCTCTCGACAAAGGATCCCCCCAGGCAGTAAGAACCACACTTTTAACTGCTAGGCCATTAAATGCTAATCAAGGTGTCCAGTTGAAATATTCAGACCTACCTCCCACAGACAAAGAGTTCTTTCTCTCACCCTGGGCATTCCACAGACAAGAAACAATGAGGGACAGCTAATCACCTCCCAACAAAGGATTCCCCTAGGCAGTAAGAAGCCACCCCTTGAAACTGCTGGACCATTAAATGCTAATCAAGGTGGTAGGTTGCAGCATTCACACCTACCTCCAACAGACAAGAGTTATTTCTCTCACCCTGGACACTGCACAGCTAATCACCTCTCAACAAAGGATTC